TAAAAAGTTAATAGCTAAGTGCTGTAAAACAAGATTTGACCGATTCTGCAACAACTGCATTGGCTACCAGTAGAACATTGGATCTCTTACAAGACACTGATCCTGACATTTAGAGCTCAAAATGGCCAAGGACCTTTATATCTTAGGGTCTGTCTCATTCCTTTTCTCCATCAGTGGTCACCTCGATCCACCCAGGAAAATCTCCTATACATACCGGGCCCTAGGGAGGTACACCTGGAAGCTACAAGGCGTAGAGCTTTTTCGATCTATGCTCCAATTCTGTGGAACTCATTGCCTCCATACATTAGAGCAATGTCAGAGTTGCGACCTTTTGTAAAGGCACTCAAGACTTGGCTGTTTGGTTGTGCATTTAAGTAATCAGATCTAATTTGCCAAATAGTCACTGTTGAATGTTTTTATGTTGAATGTTTTTATATTGTGTAAATGCTATTTTAGATTGTAAGTCGCTCGGAGCACCTTGGTGGAGAGCGATTAATTAAGAAATAAAGAGAAGTGAAGTGAAGTGAATGTAATTAGATGTCCTTGTTTGTTTCTAGGCACTGTCAGGCCAATATATGCTAATCAAGGTGGTCAGTTGAAACATTCACACCTAGCTCCAGCAGACAATTGTCCTTTGTCTCACCCTGGTCATTCCACAGATATATAAACCCCTTTTCCTAGTTTCAACAGACCTCACTACCTCTGAGGATGCTTGCCATAGATGCAGGCGAAATGTCAGGAGAGAATGCCTCTAGAACATGGCCATATAGCCCGAAAAACCTACAACAACCCAGTGATTCCGGCCATTTATTTGTTTATTTATTTATTTGTCGTGTCAGGGCAACCAGTCAATTATATTTCATTTCTAACAAAGCAAAGCAAACAAACAGACAAAGCACAAAATTTGTGAGTTTGGTAGTTGATTAAATGTCCTTTGACCAGTATCTGGCCACTTGGAGTGCTTCTGGTGTTGCCGCAAGAAGGTCCTCCATGGTGCATGTGGCAGGGCTCAGGTTGCATTGCAGCAGGTGGTCAGTGGTTTGCTCTTCTCCACACTCGCATGTCGTGGATTCCACTTTGTGGCCCCATTTCTTGTTGGCTCTGCATCTCATGGTGCCAGAGCGCAGTCTGTTCAGCGCCTTCCAAGTCGCCCAGTTTTCTGTGTGCCCAGGGGGGAGTCTCTCATTTGGTATCAGCCATTGGTTGAGGTTCTGGGTTTCAGCCTGCCACTTTTGGACTCTCGCTTGCTGAGGTGTTCCAGCGAGTGTCTCTGTAGATCTTAGAAAACTATTTCTTGATTTAAGTCGTTGACGTGCTGGCTGATACCCAATCAGGGGATGAGCTGGAGATGTCTCTGCCTTGGTCCTTTCACTATTGGCTGCTACTTCCCGGCGGATGTCAGGTGGTACAATACCGGCTAAACAGTGTAATTTCTCCACTGGTGTAGGGCGCAGACACCCCATGATAATGCGGCATGTCTCATTAAGAACCACATCCACTGTTTTAGTGTGGTGAGATGTGTTCCACACTGGGCATGCATACTCAGCAGCAGAGTAGCACAGCGCAAGGGCAGATGTCTTCACTGTGTCTGGCTGTGATCCCCAGGTTGTGACAGTCAGCTTTCGTATGATATTGTTTCTAGCATCCACTTTTTGCTCGATGTTCTTGTAGGTCAGATCACGGTCCAGAGTGACTCCCAGGTATTTGGGTGCGCTGCAATGCTCCAGTGGGATTCCTTCCCAGATGATCCTCAGAGCTCAGGATGCTTGTCTGTTCTTAAGGTGAAAGGCACATTTCTGTGTTTTAGATGGGTTGGGGATCAGCTGGTTTCCCCTGTAATAGGCAGTAAGAGCACCTAGAGCTTCGGAGAGCTTCTGTTCTACCATCTCAAAGCTCCCTGCTTGAGCGGTGATGGCATGATCATCAGCATAGATGAAACTCTCTGTCCCTTCTGGCAGTGGCTGGTCATTTGTGTAGATGTTGAACATGGATGGAGCAAGCACGCTCCCCTGAGGCAGGCCGTTCTTCTGTTTCCACCATCTGCTTCTCTGGCCCTGAAACTCAACAAAAAGCTCCTGTTTTGTAGCAGGTTTCCTATGAGGCGGGTGAGGTGGTAGTCCTTTATGATATTATATATTTTTCTCAGGAAAAACAAAAAGGCCTTTATTTATGTACACTGTATGCTCTGCTTGGCGAAATATTGCCGCCTTGCATCCTTTCTAGCTGGATCGCAATAAAATCAACTTGGTGGCACTTCCTTCAGCTTTGGTGAGATTCTTTTGGGAACTTAGGGAAATCTTTTGATTGCGGCTTCTCCTTTCTTTGCTCACCAAAGTAGCGAACCCTCTTTGGTGGGTCCGCAGGGTCTCTCCTTCAGGGCGAGACCCTTTTAAATTCCTCCATGGCTTCAATAATATAATGATATTTATTATTAAACTTTATTAATACCCTGCCACCATCTCCCCTCAGGGACTCGGGGTGGCTAACATGAGGCCAAGCCCAATGAATACAGTAAACAAATAAGATACAGCAAATAATAATTAAAATGAAAAATCAAAATAGAAATTAAAATAAAGTACAACCATAAACAAATAACACACAAACAACAAAAGGAGATTTTTTTTCTTTTCTTTTCCCTTCTATCTCTCAGTCCTTCCCCACCCTTTTAAACACTACTTTATTCTTTTTTTTTCTTTGCACAAAATAGAAAATGTTCTCAATAAAGATTTAAAAAAAACCAACAAAAGGAGATTAACATAACAGGATATAACACCGGATATAAAGTAAAAATAAGATTAGGGGTAAGGAGTTAATCAGAGTGCGCTGGGCCCATGTGTGAAGATAAAAACAAGGATGCTTCTGAAACATGGCCATACAGCCCGGAAAACACACAACTCCCCAGTGATTTCAGCCATGAAAGCCTTCGACAAAACAACGTTATAACATATGGAGCTATATCGTACTAGCTGTCCCCTGCCACGTGTTGCTGTGGCCCAGTCTGTTGATCTGGAAAATAAAGTAATGAGAAAGTGTTGGTTTCTAATATATGTAATTTCTTTATGCTTGTGGGTAAACAGTATTCCTTGCTGTTTCTTTGTCAGTGTTGATGTGGAGAGTGTCTGGTTTGCCCACCCTGGAACATGCAACATACCATTGTCCTTCTTTAAGAGTCCCTTTCAAATCTATGATACTATATATCTCTGTGTGTGAATCATATCTATCTATCTATATCTATGGCTGGATGGCTCTTTGTCAGGAGGACTTTGATTACGTTTTTTGCCCTGATGAAGGGAGTTGGATTGGATGGCCTTAAGTATTTTCTGTTGGTCATGGGGGTTCTGTGTGGGAAGTTTGCCCCATTCTGTCATTCGTGGGGTTCAGAATGCTCTTTGATTGTAGGTGAACTGTGAATCCCAGTGACTACAACTCCCAAATGTCAAGTTCAGTTTCCTCCAAACTCCATCTGTGTTCATATTTGGGCATATTGAGTGCTTGTGCCAAGTTTGGTCCAGATCCATCATTGTTTGAGTCCACAGTGCTCTCTGGATGTAGGTGAACTACAACTCCAAAACTCAAGGTCAGTGCCCATCAAACCCTTCCATATTTTCTATTGGTCATTGGAGTTCTGTGTGCCAAGTTTGGTTCAATTCCATCATTGGTGGAGTTTAGAATGCTCTTTGATTGTAGGTGAACTATAAATCCCAGCAACTACAACTCCCAAATGACAAAATCAATTTTGAGTGAGACAGGGAGAGACGTTTTGTTGCCAAATTTGGTGTGATTTTGTTTATTGGTTCTTTTGTTTTTAGGGAACTCATTATGCACAGAGCATTTATATAGATAGATAGCTAGATAGATAGATAGATAATAGATAGATAGAAGATAGCTAGAAGATAGATAGAGATAAGATAGATAGCTAGATAGAAGATAGATCGATAGAAGATAGATAGAAGATGGATTGATAGATAGAAGATAGCTAGATAGATAGAAGATAGATAGTTAGAAGATAGATAGAAGATAGATAGAAGATAGATAGCTAGATAGAAGATAGATTATAGATAGATAGAAAGATAGAAGATAGATAGAAGACAGATAGATAGCTAGATAGATAGAAGATTGATAGATAGAAGATAGATAGATAGAAGATAGATTATAGATAGATAGAAAGATAGAAGATAGATAGAAGACAGATAGATAGCTAGATAGATAGAAGATAGCTAGCTAGAAGATAGATAGAAGATAGATAGCTAGATAGATGGATAGAAGATAGATAGAAGATAGATAGCTAGATAGAAGATAGATAGATAGATGATAGATAGATAGATGATAGATAGATAGATAGATAGATAGAAGATAGATAGATAAAAGATAAATAGAAGATAGCTAGATAGATAGATAGATGATAGATTGAAAGATAGATAGAAGATAGATAGAAGATAGATAGATAGATAGATAGATAGATAGATAGATAGATAGATAGATAGATAGATAGAAGACAGATAGATAGAAGATAGATAGATAGAAGAAAGAAGATAGATAGATGCAGAGAGAAAGCGGGATATGAAGACTAGGCCACCTATGCGCATGCTCAAAAAGCGCCTCCCCGGTCTTCTCTGCCTCAGAAAGGGAAAGACCCCGCCCCTCTGCCAATCCGCTGTTCTCATTGGCTACCAGTGACGCGATTGGGGCGGGGCCAGAGGGCGCGGGGCCGAGAGACGCCTATGAGGCGCCACACCAAGATGGCGGAGGCGGCGGCCTTTTCTTTCTGAAAGGATAAGCTCCCGCCAATCCGCTTCTCATTGGTCGCCAGTAACGCGAGGAGCGACCTCCTCTTTTTCTATCCGAAAGGAAAAGTCTCCGCCCATCAGCCAATCCTCCTCTCTCATTGGTCGCCTGTGACGGCGGAGGAGGAGGGGTTCTGTCTCCGAAAGAAAAAGCCCTTCCCCAAGGCAATCTGCCTCTCCCATAGGTTGCCAGTGACGCGGAGGGCGGGGCCTGCGTTGGGCGGGGCCAAGCGACGCCTCTGAGGCGCCAAAGCAAGATGGCGGCGGCGGCAGAAGCAGGGACGGGAGCGGAGTCCCGAGAGGTCCCATTCTCGCTGCTGGCGGTGTTCGGCCCCGGAGGCGCCCGGGCCGGGCTACGGAAGGCGACGCTGGAGGCCCTCAGAGCAGGTGAGGAACGTGCCGGAAGTGGGGGGAAGGGGCCAGAAGTGGGGAGGGGGTCCCGAAGGGGGCGGGGTTTGCATCCTCTTTTGCCTCACTCCATGGTATTGTGGTGTATGATACCCTACAAGTTTTCTGGGGTATTGTATAGTGCAGGTATCTTCAAATTGCGGCCCTCCAACTGTTTTGGCCCCCAACTCCCAGAATTCCTGACCATGGAACAAGCTGGCTAGGGCTTCTTGGAATTGGAGGCCCAAGTTTGAGGATGCCTGATATAGTGTATGGACAATGACCTACTTCATCTAAGCAGCATCGCAGCTGTTACTATTACCATCTATCTATCTTCTATCTATCTATATCTATCTATCTATCTTCTATCTATCTGTATCTATATCTATCTATATCATCTATCTACTTATCTATCTATATCTATATATAAAAATGCTCTGTGCATAATGAGTGCCTTAAAAACAAAAGAACCAATGAACGAAATCACACCCAATTTGGCAACAAAACGTCTCTTTCTTCTATCTATCTATCTATCTTATATCTATTTTCTATCTATCTTCTGTCTATCATCTATCGATCTTCTATCTATCTTCTATCTATCTATCATCTATCTATCTTTCTATCTTCTATCTATCTATCTTCTATCTATCTATCTATCATCTATCTATCTATCTATCTATCTATCTATCTATCTAAATGCTCTGTGCATAATGAGTGCCTTAAAAACAAAAGAACCAATGAACGAAATCACACCAAATTTGGCAACAAAACGTCTTTCTTCTATCTATCTTCTATCTATCTATCTTCTATCTATCTATCTTCTATCTACTATCTATCTTCTATCTATCTATCATCTATCTTATCTTCTATCTATCTTCTATCTATCTATCTTCTATCTATCTATCATCTATCTATCTATCTATATAAATGCTCTGTGCATAATGAGTGCCTTAAAAACAAAAGAACCAATGAACAAAATCACACCAAATCTGGCAACAAAACGTCTCACAACACAAGGAGTGGCCATCACTCAAAAAATTACGATTTTGTCATTTGGGAGTTGTAGTTGCTGGGATTTATAGTTCACCTACAATCGAAGAGCCTTCTGAACTCCATCAACAATGGAATTGAACCAAATTTGGCACACAGAACTCCCATGACCAACAGAAAATATTGGAAGGGTTTGGTGGGCATTGACCTTGAGTTTGGGAGTTGTAGTTCACCTACATCCAGAGAGCACTGTGGACTCAAACAATGATGGATCTGGACCAAACTTGGCACAAGCACTCAATATGCCCAAATATGAACACAGATGGAGTTTGGTGGAAATAGACCTTGACATTTGGGAGTTGTAGTCACTGGGATTCACAGTTCACCTACAATCAAAGAGCATTCTGAACCCCACGAATGACAGAATCGGGGCAAACTTCCCACACAGAACTCCCCTGACCAAGAGAAAATACTGGAAGGGTTTGGTGGGCATTGACCTTGAGTTTGGGAGTTGTAGTTCACCTACATCCAGAGAGCACTGTGGACTCAAACAATGATGGATCTGGACCAAACTTGGCACAAGCGCTTAATACACCCAAATATGAAGACAGATGGAGTTTGGGGGAAACAGAGCTTGACATTTGACAGTTGTAGTCACTGGGATTCACAGTTCACCTACAATCAAAGAGCATTCTGAACCCCATGAATGACAGAATCGGGGCAAACTTCCCACACAGAACTCCCCTGACCAAGAGAAAATACTGGAAGGGTTTGGTGGGCATTGACCTTGAGTTTGGGAGTTGTAGTTCACCTACATCCAGAGAGCACTGTGGACTCAAACAATGATGGATCTGGACCAAACTTGGCACAAGCGCTTAATACACCCAAATATGAAGACAGATGGAGTTTGGGGGAAACAGAGCTTGACATTTGACAGTTGTAGTCACTGGGATTCACAGTTCACCTACAATCAAAGAGCATTCTGAACCCCATGAACGACAGAATCGGGGCAAACTTCCCACACAGAACCCCCATGACCAACAGAAAATACTTAAGGCCATCCAATCCAACTCCCTTCATCAGGGCAAGAAAACGTAATCAAAGCCCTCCTGACAAAGAGCCATCCAGTCATAGATATATATTTAGATAGATAGATAGATATGATTCACACACTCACAGATATAGTATCATAGATTTGAAAGGGACCCTTAAAGAAGGACAATGATAGGTTACATATTCCAGGGGTGGGCAAACCAGACACTATCCACATCAACGCTGACAAAGAAACAAGAAGTACTGTTTACCCACAAGCATAAAGAAATTACATATATTAGAAACCAACACTTTTTCATTACTTTATTTTCCAGATCAACAGACTGGGCCACAGCAACACGTGGCAGGGGACAGCTAGTTATTTATACGCAATGGTTCCATTTATAAGTGTATTATCTTGTTCTGCCCAATGGCATAAGTCCCTCAGCGTGAGCACAACAACAACATTCATATGTATACACTTGATTTATATTTATTATTATATGCTATAGTTATATTTCTAAGTACCTAAGCACAAAAGGTAAAGGTGAAGCATAGTACCTAAAAAAGCGCTCTCCCTCAGCCCCACCAATCCACGCTTGTGGCGGAGGTGGGAGCGAGCGAAGGGCCTCACTGGCAGATCTTAAAGCCTGGAACGGTCTACGGGGGAGGTGCGGTCACGTAAATAGGCTAGACCCCAACCGTGTAATAAAAAAAATGAAAACTTTATTTACATCCTGCCACCATCTCCCAGAAGGGATTCAGGATGGCTTACAGAAGCACTAGTTGTTTGGAGTTCTAATCATGTTCAAAGGTCTGTTTAAAGAGCCATCTTTTCAGGTTTTTCTGAAAACATTGAAGTGTGGGGGCTAGCCAGGGGGCCGCCACCAAGAAGGCCCTCTCCCTTATCCCCACCAACTGTGGTTGGGAAGGAGGCGGGACCGAAAGGAGGGTCTCCTGGCAGATCTTAGAGCCTGTGCCAGTTCACAAAAGGAGATGCAGCCTCACAGATAGGCAGGACCCAAACCACATAGGTCAGTGGTTCTCAACCTGGGGTCCCCAGATGTTTTTGGCCTACAACTCCCCAAAATCCCAGGCAGTTTACCAGCTGTTAGGATTTCTTGGAGTTGAAGGCCAGAAACATCTGGGGACCCCAGGTTGAGTGCCACTGATATAGGTCTTTGCAAGTGATAACCTGCACTTTGAATTGGGACTGGAAATTTGTCAGCAGCAAATGGAGCTGCTTTAGCTAGCCATGGTTAGTAATCTGGCTGCTGACATTTGCACTAATTGCAGTTTCTGAGCCATCTTCAAAGGCAGCCCCATGTAGAGTGTGTTGCAGTAATCAATCCGAGATGTAACTAAGGCATGGACCACTGTGGCCAGATCTGGCTTTTTATATGGCATTTGTCCATTTATATTTTAAAATGTATATTGTATTATTATGTTTCAAGATAGATTTTGGAAATTGAGGAGGGACAAATTATTGGGGAGGGGGTGTATAAGGTATCATTCTTTTGTTATATTATTTTATGCTATTGTATACAATATTACCCATATGTTATATGCACTGATGATTGTGTTGCTTTACATTACTGACAATGAAAAGAAGTAATGCATACTATATGTTTGATCCTCCTTTGGGAGAGATAAAGTGGGGTATAAATATAATAATAATATATTGTATTACATTCCTGGTTTTATGCTTATGCTCCATTTATATGAGTAACTTTATATCAACAGATACATGTATCTGGGCTTCTATCAAAGTAAACAGGAATGTATTGTGAGGCTGCCCTGAGTCCCCCTCGGGGGTGAGAAGAATGGGACACAAATGGGTGAAATAAATATTTTTTAAGACCATAAGACAGTAAACCCTCTTTAGAAATATGTTATCATATCATTGAGCTTTTCCCTGGTTGCTCTTTAGAAACAGAAGGTCTACAAACAAAATGTAATGTAATGTAATGTTCCGCAAGAGAGGCGCATGAATCAGGCCTAGAAGGGCATGGGATTAATGCTTGCACCGTAGGGAGAAGCGCATGAGGATCCAGGCGCAGATCATGCGGCTGCAGCCCCAGGAAACCCAACTCTGGAAGAAAGGGGAGCTTGTGCTGGAAAAGCCCTGGGGCCACCTCTGGCGCATGGCCTCTTTGGAAGGGAACTGTCCATATAATGAAAATGTCATTGCAGATTTGATAAATGTGAATTTAATATATGTGTGGGAATGAATGGAAGGATGTATGGATGGAGTTAATAATGTTGGAGACACTAATTCTAAAAGACCAAGGCCTGCAATAACTAAACCTGCTTGCAGGACTGTAATTAAAAGTTGCTAATAAGAACTGAAAATTAAACTCTGATAAGAATGGGACAGTGATAAGATAAATGTTTACAATGTTAAGAAGGAAGTCAACACAAGCTTTGTGTTTGTCACCACCAATCAAGAAGAATCAGCATCTGGCCAGGAAACTGAGATGGATCCAGGATGGAAGATGTCTATCATTAATTTACAACAATTTACAACTTTACATCAGCAGAATATTCCTATAGAAGACTCAGTCTAATAATTCTCAAAGTGTGGCAGACTTGAGGAGTCCGTTCCACCCACCATGCTCTGCTCCATGGGAAGGAAAAGATAGTGTATTCGAAGAGTGGCAGATTTGCCAGAGAGCAGTCCGGTTACTTTGGGGCTTCTTTCTCAGGGGAAGAGGAAGAAGTGCACTTTTGGAGTTTTAGGTTTTGTGCAGGGAGTCAGGTTCTGCTGTATGGAAAACAGAGATCTCGTCCTTGCCATTCTGCTTAGGGAAAGGATGCATTTTGGAGTTTTCAAGTTTTTTGAAGTAATTGCAGTTTTGGAACTGTAAATTGGCAGGCTGCAGGAAAGCAGGGTCTGGCCTAAGAGGTACTTCTCCAAGGAGGGAGAAAAGGATCTGGTAATATTTGGATGCTTGAGGATGAATGCATGTACATTGACA